CCCAATCTCCAGCACATTGGCGATTGAGCCCAGGGCCTTTGTACTGAGCAGTGTCCCCAGCCCTTTTTTACTTAAGTGCTGAGCTTATAGGCATGTGCCACCATACCTGGCTCCCTTTTCTTTTCATTCTTCCCTCTGTCATTTCCCTTGCTACTTGGCACTTCTGTGAAATGCCTTCCTGCTCTGAGCATGAGGTAATGATGATAGAAAGGTCTACAGGCAGAAATTAGCAGGATCTTTTAAATAATCTTCAACAACAATGTCAAAGTAATTGCACATCAGTGGAGAGAAGTATACCTTCACTGAAGGCATGTCTATGTGCACAGTTTTCTGAGAGTGAGACTTCATTGAGAATGAGATTACCAAGAATGAGTCTTGGGGCACCTGTCTGTCCAACATAGTGCCTTCTAGTATGAATAACTTGCTGGAAACATATCCGTCTCATTTGTGCAACTCTAAAACCTTTCTACACATAGGTTGTGTACCTCCTTTAAAAGTGGATTGGGCACTGAGCATGGTGGCGCATGCCTGTAATCCCAGCACTCGGGAGGCTGAGGCAGGAAGATCATCGTGAGTTTGAGGCCAGCCTGTGGTACTTAGTGAGTTCAAGGCCAGCCTGAACTAAAAGCAAGACCTTGTCTCAAAAAACTTTAAAAAAAACCCAAAAAAACAGACATGGTGGTGCACACCTATAATCCCAGCACTTGGGAGGCTGAGGCGGAAGGATCACTGTGAATTGGAGACACACCTAGGCTGCATAGTGAGTTCCAGGTCAGTCTCACCAAACCACAAAAAAAGAAACACACACACACAAAATAGTGGATTGGGATGCTGGGTATGGTGGCACACACCTGTAATCCCATTTCTCATGAGGCTGAGACAGGAAAATTGCCATTAGTTCAAAGCTATATAGTGAGTTCAAGGCCAATCTTCACTACAAAGCAAGACCCTGTCTCAAAAATAAATAAGATAGTAAAAAGTGGATTGGGAGGGGCCGGGGATTTAGCTCAGTGGTGCCAAGCCCTGCCTAGTCCAAAGTTCAATTCCTGGTACCAAAAAAAAAAAAAAAAAAAAATGGATTGGGGGAGGCTGAGCAATCAGAATCTCTTAAACTCACAAGTTTTAAGAACAGCCTGGGTAGCATAAAAACAAGTAAATTAAGGTTGTTGTTAGCTCTACACCTTAGAGCAGCGAAGGTGAGTACTTTAGAGCTTTTGAGGATACAGCAGCCTACTATGATACTTTGCCACCAGTGCCTTAAAGATTGCTTAATGTTCTTGGTGGTGGTAGGGTGTTGAGACAGGGTCTCACTATTAGTTCAGGCTGGCCTCTAACTCCTGGCAATCCTCCTGCCTCAGACTCCTAAGTGCTGGGGTGTGTGCCACCATACCCCGTTGCTTAATATTCTTTGTCATGGTAGATAAAGCACCTAGACTAGCTTTCTCTCCTTTTTGTTACAAAACTGTTTTCTAAAGATATTATAACATTAGTTCTGAATTGTAGGAGATGGGTTTGGATATGACCTGAGTAATGTTAAAAGCTGGCATCTGGGACTGGAGATGTGGCTCTGTGGTAGCACCCTTGCCTAAAATGTTCAAGTCCCTGGTTTTTAATTCTATACCCCACACACACAAGACATTTGGTTATACATTCCTCTGCTGATTTCCATGTAGCCTAGTTTATTCTGAAAAGTAATAGTTGCATGATTGTTTGGAATACTTATGTATGTGTTTTTTGTGAGTATGGGTGGTAAATTATGAATTCAAACAGCCAAAAATGAATTCCACACCCCCCCAAACAAAAAGGGTATAAAGCCAGACTAGTACTTACTAAGAGTTTTAAAAAGTCATACTGTCAGAGGTTTCTGTGACCCTTTTTTTTTTTTTTTTTTTTT